TTTTTTTTTTACAGGACAGAGGAGTGGAGGAAAGCGGACTGGAAACAATTTTTATGGGCAGTTCGAGGAAAATGTTTAAATGCATTAAAGAATACATAAGACAGGTCACGCCTGGTCCGTACTCGTTTAGATATATTCGCCTCCTGACTGCTATCGTCTTCGAAGTTTTGTCACACTGATTACTTGTTTCCGCAGAAACGTCCTCTCTTAGACACAAAATTTCGGTAACAAGAAGATCTGTTAGTTTTTCGACACTGTGCATTTATTGCGAAGCTCAGCAGTTGCTTTCATTTTTGTTGGAAAATTAAATTTTATTTCACAGAATGTTAGTTGCTAGTTTTTTTGTTGTTGTTATTGAATGATTGACTACTGTCTTGGAAACGAATCTTAGAACGTTTTAAAAATGCACAATTATTGTACGGTTAAATTGGCTTAAATGAAGTTCTCTTTTTCTTTCAGAGAAATTAAGTTTTTTTTGCTGTGGAATTTTTTTTATTTAGCAATCATTGGCATTGTTAACCAGTTACAATACTGTTAATTGTTACCGTCATATGTATTTTTTTTTTAAATTGCGGGTGTTTTGAGCGGTGTTGTAATTTAACTGTTAAGAAATTATGATTGCCGGATGTTGTTTAAGGAACACAAGTTTTTTTTAATTCTCTCATAATTTTTGTTTTATTTTTTTTCTTCACCTTTATTGGTAATTACTTTGTTTTTCATTCATTTTTGAGTGACAGAAGGTGGTGAACAATAGTTTGTTAACGCTGATCGAGCCTGTAGGCATGTAAATCTATGTAGCTTTATTGTTACGTCGAAAATATTGTGGGTAGTTGTGCAACTTAAAGTTAGATTGTTCTTCGTTTTTGTCGTGACCGGTACAAGTTTACATTTTCCACTTTACGCATATTTTTAACCATCTTGAAAAGAACGTTCGCCATTATATAGATTCTTGTTCACACAGGGAAAACATGGTTTGACTGTGTCTATGTATTTGTGTATATGTATGCTTTTGTTTAAAAGTACTACTAGGAGTAGGAGTTTTAGGTGCTTGCCAAGCGTTCATTGTCATCGTCTTCAAAAATTATCCTACTTGGTTTTGCTATTCTGCTACTATATTATACTGTATTATACTGCTATCGTTACCTGGTCTCAGTGTGTTGTTACTGTGTGCTATTTTTTGCTAAAATGCATTCTTATGAGCGTTTTGAAGGTTGTTTTCCTTCCTTTCTTCATCTTTTACTTTACATATTGGAAACAGTTACGATTACGTGAGATTTTTTTGAATGAAAATATTTTATAAAAATTGAACTGCATACGATATACATGCATGTATCTGTATATCTGCATCATATTGAGGTGGAATAGGTGCATTTGTGGACGTTCTAAGGGACTGTTTGTTTTTGTATTCATGGCAAAGTGTCTCAGGGAGGACTATTGAGTGAGTGCATTTTGGATACATAATTTTGATGAGGAGTAGGTGGAGACCATGATGTTTACTGTCAGTCTGCTTTTGTAGATTTATTTGTTAGTTAGGGGGCAATAGTGCTGGACGGGTGGAATTTAGGGTTGATTTTGTGGGGTCATATGAAGCTGGTTGTAGGGTTGATGGGAAAGATCTGGGTCTGGATGTGTGAGCACCAGTATGCTTGATTGGCATGGAGTATGGGCAAAGTTCTGCATTTCGCAGTGTGTTTTTTATGAGTTGTTTCTGTTTCTGTATTTTATCTTGGGGATCAGGGATTATAATGCTCGATGCTTTAGTAATGGTGAAGCGTCTGTATCTGGAATGTGATGAAGTCTTGTAATTTGGCTCTGCCTTAAGTGGTTGAGGTTATAGTGACATAAAGGCTAGTGAACATATTTTTTTGCAAATGTTGTCTGGTAATTTGGAGGCTAAGTAAATAGAAGGAGAAATTGATTTTTGTTATGTTGAAGCGACCTACGCAACTAACATGGTATTTTGGATCGAAAGGCAATGAATTTCGCGTCTTGGTATTACTTGGAAAACTTTTATGCCAAATGTACTAATTACTGGGGTAAACCTGATAAGTTAGGACACTATTAATGTATAACAGCTATTGGTGCTATTAATCGTCGAAAGGAGATTTTTTGGCAAGATTTATTTTTTGTCACAATTTTATTCGACCTTTATTTAAAAATGAAATTTTTATGCGGAAAGAATGGTGATCAACACCTATGTGAGCTCTCACGTTCTGTGGGGTAAGGCGGAGGGGCTATTGACATCTTAAAATAAGGTCATTTAGCAGGTATTGAACTCGCTAAGTTGACGATGCATATAACTATGGTTTTTTCTAGATCCAGCTGCAAAGCGGTGATTTCAAATATCAGACTTTTTATTTTGCAAGATTCTTAGTTGGACACGTCAAGAATTTTTCAATTTTCCTGAGTGCTTTACGAAAGGTCAAAGTACGTTACGAATAGTGATCGGTTATTGCCATGATTTTTAGAAAATTCGTCGGCAAATGAAGCGCTGTTCTTGAAATCTGGATGTAATGATGATTACAGAAGTTGCAAAAACTTTAATCATAGAAGTCTAGAGCAGTTGAGACATTTTTTTGCATCTGGTAGCAATTTTTACGTTAAAATTGTAGGTTAAACGGGACTTTACTGGTTGCATTGATCTGAAACAAAATTAACTGTTTTTTGGTAAAGAGTTTCGTTAGAGTTAGATTTGGCTTCTCTAGAAAATCGTAGAAAAAACATTGAGTCTTCGAGTTTTCGGTGAAATGAGAAGATCCAGCTTTGATTTGTCTATCAAGGTACTGCAATGTCTGATTCAAAGGAAACGAGGACGTGCTATTTGGTTTTGTGATACTATTTGATAAAATAAAGCTGATTAATAATACTGTTCTTTACCAGCCACTTGTAAGCAGTATTTCTGTAACTTTGATGGCAACGCAGTTGGTCATGGGAAGCCGTCAAAATTTCAAACTTTTATTGCCCAGCAGTTACAAAGTAGGGCTGTTTGAACAAAAACTTTTTCATTGGATAGGAACTTTAAACAAGAGTTAATAAACAGCTACAAACTGTCGTTACACAGCAAACTCAAATCAATTTTTTGAATTACACATCTCTTAAGTAGTTCGGTTAATTATTTTTAGACTTTATAATTGATGTTTGGTATAGAATTCCGTTTTATTCAGATTCTACCATTTCACCTAGATATTTCCTTTGAATATTCAGAAAATTTTTTCAGCAGTTTTTTCTGAAGTTGAGGAATAATTGATCGAACTTTTGACGACAGCTTTTAATAAATTTTCACAAACCAGGAGATAAAAAGTGTGGATAAGGAAACGTTTATCCACGTTATTAATGTATATTGACTGTTTGAAAGGAGTTCACCTGTCAAGCAACTACCGATAACTGTTTGGCTGTACAATGAAAAAATTCGAGTGTATTACAAAAGTTTGCAGTTAATTTTGAAAGACTGTTTTTGCTAGTATAATTTTTTCACCGTTTTATAATTGTTGAAGGTATCGCTTTAATCTTGGGTAAGGTTTGACAGGCAAAGGTGAGAAAGTATGAAATTAATGAACAAAGAAACTGCAACATTTTTATGTAAATAATTGGTGACTTTGGTTTGTTGTAACTGTTTTGGTACAAAAACATGGCAAAGTTTTTTTTTTCGAGAGATGAGAATTATTATCTAAT